TGTGCACTCTTCTTTCCTGAAAAAGAAGTAACAGGAGAAAACTCAATGCATTAAAGTAATTCTTGGCCAAATCTTTCTGTGAACATTATGGACTGTCAGTTACTTGGTTAAACCTACATGGCCAAGAGGGAAATGAAAATTGAGTGTGTGACACAGGCTTTCTATTTGATACAAAAACTTCAAGGCTGGTTTAATCAGTTCACAACAGCACCTCCCTTTACCTCCCGCTGCGTGGACACTCAGGCACCATGGATGCTCTTTCAGAGAAATTCTCCATAGGACACTGTTTCTTTGTCCCTGCAAATGAGCTTGCTCCTTGCTCCAGACCTCTAGCTTTTATCAGCGTGAGCATCCTCCAAGACTGGCCTTTCTCATGGGCGTAAAACTCCTGTGAGTTTTACCTCCTCACTCCCTGCCCAGCCCAGGCTCACTGCAGCAGCTGACAAAGCTTGCCTGGGATGGTGACTTGATCATTCGCCTCTCTACGCCACTCCGGTGGCTCACCAGTCAAGTATCCTGCGATCACCCTCAGGTCACTGCACAACTCTGTCCCTCCATACTTGTCTGCCTTGCTCTCTTATCCTGTCACTTCTTTCCTACTCTCCCTGCTCTTCCTACAATCAAACCCCTCTTTGCACTGTTTTCCCTCATTGCTCTGATGCTTCACGTGGCCTCTGAGAGCTCACCTGCAAAGCCACCTCTGAGCATCCTCACCTTCAGGTAAAGCCTAGAATAAACAAGCCCATGACATCATCTGCTAATCTTGGTAATTTCTTTAGCTCTCAGGTGAGCTGCTCAATTGCGTTTTGCAGAGGAGTGATATTTTAGCAGACCTATAAATGTGCCCAAATACTGGAAGGCTGGTCTGGAAGAAGACACTTGCTAGGCATTAAATCAGCACAAGTAAGAAGCCAACAGCAGAAACCAGCAGTCCTCTCAGGTAAGGAGATTCACAGCATTTGTGCTCCTGACCACAGAGGGCCAGATTCAAATGCCCCCACTCGCTCAAGTTATGATTTGAAAACTGATCAGTCATCTGCTGTGGACACGTAGGCAGAACTATAACAAATACAAAACAGGAACTAAATCTACACTGGGATTTTTTTATCATTATCATTTGGCAGAAACAATGTGCAATACTTACAACATGTTTAAAGGAAGAGGGAGGTCTCACTGTGCAAACAACGGCAATTAGAAAAGTTCAGAAGTTTGTGAACTCTGGCATTCAGGTCCTTTGACTCAGATAATTACCTTTGGATTTTGCACGGTGTTTTTGGCTCCCTGGTCTCTATTATGAGAGGGAATGAATAGTTTTGAGCTTGTAAAACAAAGAACAGTCAGGAATAAGAGTATTATGCAAAGCAGAAGCTTTGGTACAGTACAATAAGGATTTATAGGGTTTCAATTTATAATCTGTTTGTAACCTTATTACACCCATGAAATGTCACATTCCAGGGACTAGATCAGAAGGATTTTTTTTTTCCTGGTGAAATTGAATTTTGATGCAGTTTGAGGGTGAGAAAAGGCTTTTCTTTTAATTTTGTAGGCCCAAACCTGCAAGTTTTACTTACAATGGTAATCCTTATTACAGTAAATAGGCGCATGAAAGCCAATGATATTACTCCCTAGTGTCAGGTTTGCTAACATAAAGCTCTGAAGCGCCAGCTCTGTATTATTAAGAATTTCTGACCCGGAAAAAAAAAAAAAGCCCCCATTAAAAGCTGGAATTCTACTATCTCCCATTGCACACAGTTCCAAAAAGCGGCTAAACAGGGGTCATTTGCAGAATACCAGTCACTTCCATGCCACTTCAATTCTTATTACCAAACCTCAGCCTGTCCTGGCTCATTTGCTTTTCTTTTATTTAAAAAATGTTGCTATTATCATTTGGCTCCAAAATACCCTAAAATGAACAGAGGGAGCTGACCTAAATACTGATTTTGGTCTCAGAACACCCTGGCTTTGAAGGAGGAAGCTCTGAGATGGGTTTCAATTCCAGAGCAAAAATGCCACCAAATTCATTAAAATCAAGGCTGAAGTTGGCCTGTCATCTCTACTGGGGAAGCTCAAAACCCAGACGTAACAGGAAGCACAATCTGCAGTGTCCTGGAAGCATAAATGCTTACGTGGTAAGAAATACTATTGAAAAAGGGAACACCTTAAATCATACATGTTCTCATATAATCAATGCACACCGTATGTGCAACTACATCTTGTAGCAGATGTTGTGAGGTGACACTGGAGGTAGGATCTGCAATAATCTTAGTGTTCTATTTCCCTCCTTCACATGGTTTTTAGAAGAAAAGGAGTGTCTAAGCATATCCTAGCTGACTGCTCGGTACCCATTAGCTATTCAATACATAAACAAAGGCCAAATGTGCTCTCACGGTAGTCAAACAGCAGGAGGAAAGCCCCTTCATACCGGTGGAATGAGTTAGGAACAACAGAAAAAGAATGGTTGTCACCTGCAACTGAGATTGCATCTGAAAGCAAAGTGTTATTCGGTGGATAAAGCAGAAAACATTGGGAAAATCTCCTGATTCTGCTTTCTAACCTAGACACACCACCCTAGCGTATGCTAGGAGAAAACTGGGAAGAGACCACGCTGTATTGGTATAAAGTGGTAAGTTAGTGGCACAGCGGAAGGCATACCATCATTACCAAAAATTAGTTTACTTTCAATTATACAATGAAAATTTTAGACTTTTATCTTCTCACAGTTATTTCCCTGTATTTTAAAAATTAAAAAAGGAGGTGCTAAATAACTCCTCACTAAAGCTCACTACTGACATCAAGCAGAAGCAGCATTAAGCCACCTTCTAGCACAAATCTCCCCCTGGACTGTAGTGCCACAGAAAAGTCCCTCAAACCAGCAGAGCCACTGCATTTGCTGCATAGGAGATGAAGAGCAAATGGCGAAGAGGCATTGCAGTGGAACAGCTGCTAAACACAGCTCACCCCGCAGCTGCACGAGGGAGTCGCGGAGCCCATGGGCTGCAGAGAGGAAATGTGCAGAGATTGCGTCCGGCAGTTACAGACTGGATAGCTCTGAGGCTGGTTTGGAAGGGGATTAGCTGTCCCCGACCTGTAAGTCCTGCAGGGAACACTCTTATTTATGTGTTTTGCATAGGGATGTAGACTTGTCCTTAAGCCCACATACAGTGAGAAACAGGAGGAGGGTCCCTGGTCATCAGGCCCATCCCTCGCTGTGGTGAGCCCTGCTACACCTAATCCCAGTCACGAACGGAGCAAGCTTTGTCTTCTAAGTATGTTGGTGATCTGCTGCTCCCTCTGCTCCCCGTGGAAGTCTCTTCTAGGAACTCACTCCTCTGCTGGTTAGCAACTGATTTCTAGCTTCGATTTATTCACAGCCAATTTATATTCATTTGTTCTTGT